ACACATGCAAACACACCTCACGCACACATGCCTCACCCACACATGCAAACATACCTCACACACACAAACATACCTCACACACACAGTCACACACAAACATACCTCAAACACACACAAGCACACCTCATGCACACATTCACACTCACAGACATACTTTACACACACACCTCACTCACACATGGAAACATAGCTCATACATACACACCCCTCACACACACACACAGGCAAACACACTCACACACACAAGTATTTCTGCACCTATCTTTGGGTATATACTTTCAAAACTTCACAAGTTCATGCTGATGCCCCAAGGCTTCTTCCTCCCCTTCCTCCTCCTCAGGTGTGTGACTCCATTCTGTGACTGGGAGAGAGCTGCCTCCCATTTTCCTCAAGATATTCACTGCCACCCTCCATTGACAAACTTGGTTGCATGATGCAGCCAATCTCCCAACCTCCCCAGCCACCTCTGAGACCTTGCTCCCATCACCCTGGTTCTCTGCCCACTGGGCACGCTGCTCCCACACCTCTGCCTCGAAGCCACCCTGCACCATCCACTTCCTCAGCCACCCGTGTCCCTGAACTTGGAGGACAAATGAGGGAAGGGAGGATGGAACCACTGGCTATCCATATAGAAACAAAGAATGCACACCTCACCAACAGCCAATTCCAGCTGCAGTGTGGGCCAAAAAGGAACAGGAGGGAAGCTCCTGAGAGATCAGCTCTTCACGACCTGTTGCTGGAACTTCTTCACATGACACAGAAGCACCAGCCATAAGGGAAAGATGCAGCTCTGACCCCATTTAAATGGCTAACTTCCACTCATTGACACATCATAGAGTGAGAACTGTAAGTCACTTTGTGGGAGCAGCACCTGGTGATATAAATATCAGCCACATCTAGAATATAAAAAAAACTCCTGTAACTCAATGAGAAAAAGGTAGTCAGTCTGCTAGAGAAATGGGGATTGAAGGGAGACTCTATCCCAGTGGCTAACGACTGCAGAAGAGGGCTGGCTCATTAAGTGGTCAGGAAAATGCAAATGAGGCTGTACCCAGAAAGCAGCGCGGGGGTGGGGGCACTTGCACTGGGGGCAGCCTGGCACCTTCTGAGCCACCCAGTACATGCACACCCTGTGGCCGATGCCCCACCTCTGGTTCCAGGGTCCAATCCACAGACACGCATGCACCGGGCACCCGGAGACCCAGACTGGGGTCTTAATCCTTAAGCTTCTCAGCCCCAAGTGGATGACCCAGATCTCTACTGACAGTAGAATGAGCATTCACACACATCCAGTGGAACACCGCACAGGAAAATCCCACACAGTGCCCTACAGCTACACGCACCCACCGTGGAGCTCACAAAGTAGAGCTGAGCGGAAGCAGTCCCATACAAAGGAAGCTGTTCTGCATGGTGCCATTTTTGTAAATAAGAAAAAAAAAACCAGACCTAACAAGTCTATGCTTTTTGGAGATGCATGTTCCGAATGGTAAGGCAAGAACGAGGGGCCAGGGGGCTGCCTCCTGAGGACGAGAACAGAGCCAGCGTCAGGGCTCTGCCTCTGACTTCAGTGGTTACCCAGGTGTCCACTCCGTGATAGTACAACAGTATGCAAACTTGTTCTGTGCACTTTTCTGCAAGGGTGCTGTGGTCGCGCCATAGAAGAGGTAGGAAACACACCCACCCAGGTGGCTGTAACTGGGCACAGGTGTGCCCTCGGGCCCCCAGCTTTCTGTCCTCCAGCCTCCCCTTGACATGAAAGCGTACCTTCCTTTCTCAAGAGCCACTTTGGAGAGACTTAGCTTCCAAACACAGCTGGGCGCCCGGCCTCTAGTGCAACGTAAACGCACCTGGGCATTCCAAGAACGTGCACGGTCTGCGCTGCAGACCTCCCGACCCACGGGCCCCTGCCTGGAGCATGGCTACCGAGGTGCCGTCCAGCTTGGAAAGGGGAAGGATCGACCGTCCAACATTCACTCACAGGCTGCCCTTGCTGCTTGCCTCCCCACACAATGTCAGGCCAGCTTTCTTTCTTTCTTTCTTTCTTTTTTTAAGATTTTATTTATTTATTTGACAGAGAGATCACAACTAGGCAGAGGCAGGTAGAGAGAGAGGGGGAAGCAGGCTCCCTGCAGAGCAGACAGCCCGACGCAGGGCTCAATCCCAGGACCCTGAGATCACGACCTGAGCCGAAGGCAGAGGCTTTAACCCACTGAGCCACCCAGGCGCCCCTCAAGCCAGCTTTCTGAGGGGCAGACCCCAGGGCTGGGGGTTCCCTGAGAACAGCCCAAGGCATCTGGGCCCTGGAGGAGCAGGAGGCGCCAAGGGTCCTAGGCCTTGGCTGAAAACACAGGAGGAATGTTTACAAGCAGCAGCATCCAGTGCAAGCAGTTCAGTGTGGTATTCGGACGCAGTGTCTATTCTAAGCATCAGGGAAAGTCCACAACCATACAGAGGGCCTGCCACACCAACCGGGGGCAAAGGGGACCAGCGTGTGGCTCTGCAGGCGCATGCGTCCAAGGCCACCAGCCTCCTGGATACCTCTGGTTCTTCGATCACCTGCGAGCCACCTTCAGGGGTGTAGCAGCAGCATGTCTGGCACAAAAGTGCTTTGCAAAAGGGTGTGTCCCTGACAGGCCTTGTCCTCTGGGGACTGGGAACCGTGGTGCCTAGATGCCCAGGATCCGAGTCCACGGCAGGAAGGCAGACCTGCCCTGGAGGGCATTCAGGAAAGTTTCACTTAAACTTAGACATAAGCTCATTCTCTCCCCCACCAGCCCCTTCCTGCTGCCTCCTGGCCCACCTCTCACCTGAGTCTCCAGCCTGGCACCTCTTCAAGGCCGTGGTAGCAGTGCCAGAACACGGACCCTCTGGGCTCTGCTGCCCGGTCTCCAGATGCTCACAGCTGGGCCCACCACACAGCTTCCTCTGTCAGAAGTGCCACATGCCCACCCTGCTCTCCTTGTCACCGGTCAGCCCAAATGCCATGGACCTGGGCGCCCCTGTGGCACTCCCAGTGCCCAGAGAGGGTGGCTGCTCTCAGGGTTTGGAGTACAACCCCAATCAGTGGGCGGGTTTTAGACACAAGTTCTACACCACTGCATGGAAAGGGGACCGCTCATCAGAGGAGGTGTGGTGACACCAGAGCCCTGGGGTCCACAGGAAGGAAGCTGAGGCTCCTCTAAGAAGAACCCTGGAGCTCAGCCATGGACCCCTAGCTCTTGCCACTGGAGACCCCTGGCAGACCAGGGAGGCCTCTGCTCAGGCCACTACAGAGTTGTTTTGTGTGTCCATCAGGCTCGTCTCAGTAGGCACCTGCCTGGACAGAGCAGTGGTCACAAAGACCGCAGTGACGGGCACCCAGTGGATCTGGACACTGCCTCTGGATGGGCCAAGGGCAGAGATCACACTGCTCTGGAGGGGCTGCCCTGGCAGCTGGGGGAGACCCCGAGAACAACCAGTGGCAAGTTCATGGCCCCTGCTGAGGGCCACAGCTTGACTCCTTTGGGACTGTACTCGCTGCCATCAAGACCCACCTGAGCAGCTGGTGCCCTTGAGGCAGTGTCCGCAGCCAGGTCACACACTGGCCCCCGTGGCCATCCAGGGTTGCAACTGCCCTCCGTGTCTGCAGGCTCCAGATGTGCACCAGCCCGCTCAGGGACCTGTTGTGACAAGCGCAAAAGCACAGGCTCAGGGAGAGGGATTGTAAGTTAGTCCCAGCATGCTCTGCGGGGCTGGCGGAGAAACCACCCAGCTGGTGGACCAGGCATTTCAGTCGGAGCTTTCAGTTTAGAGGACAGCTGGATGTGTGAACTAAGGGTAAAAGTGGCACAGTGGTCCTTTACCAGGGATAGCAGGCAGAGAGCCCTCAGGAGCCTCAGAGGGCACCCGAGGCAGAGTCCACTCCTCTGGAGAGACATAGGGGGCTACAGCTGACACTGTAAACTGTGTGGTGTCTGTGAGAGAGGGCGTGCTCCCTGCCTCCTCCAAGGGGGCCAGGCCCGAGGGACGGCTTGTCGGTGGGTTCTGAAAAGTCCGTGTGCCCGAGGGATGGGCAGTCTGAGCCTGTCACTGAGATCCCCAAATGAGCCCTTGGCTCACCAGTAGCCCACTGCCCCTAAATTCACCATGGGCTAACCCCTGGGGTTGGGTTGGGGCCCGAGCTACTCACCCTGAGAGGAGGAGTGGGCGCCCCTGTCCTTGGGCTCCTCCGAAGAAATGCAGCGCATGCACCGCCGACTGGGTACCACGGAGGACAAACTGGGGGTCCGGCGGTGGGAGTGGGTTGGCTGCCATACTGGCTGGGGGTGCAGGCACCTGGGGACGAAGGAAAGGCATAAGTGACCCACCTGTTGTCCTTCAGGAAGGCAGTAGGAGCCTCCCTGGATGCTGCCCAGCCCCTTCAGCCTGTCTTCCCTCCCACCTATTGGCCTCTACACCCAAATGGCATCACTGTGGCCCCAACCTGCACCATCTCTGGGGGGGCACAGTGGCGCCTGCACCCTTCTGAGGTCACTCTCACCCTCAGCACCCCGCATAGAGCCTGCCTCTGGCCTCCAAGGCCTGCTGTTCACTCACCCTATATCCTCTGACTCCCTGAATCCCACTGGCCACAGCAGCGGGAGGAGTGACTCCTCCTCCCTCAGCCTGGCTTCTCCACTCCTGGGCTGTCCACACGCCTGGGGGTGTCTGTCCTGCCTCTGAGCCTGGCTGAGTACTGCAAATTCAGCCTCCCTCCTCCCTCATGAGGCCCCTCTCCTCTCCTCCCTACAGTAGAGCAATGACATGGCTGGACATGCTGTCCACTCTGGCTCCACAGCAAGCTCAGGGAACAGGGGCCACACTGGCCTGCTCCCCCCAGACCACAGGCCTAACCACCGGCATCAGGCACACAGCAGCTCCTCAGCACGTGCATATTGCAGGGATGAACCGAGGGACAGACAAGAGGTGTGTGGGGGCCCTGGGGGCTGGGGGAGTGAGCAGGACCCAAAGATAGAAAGGAATCTCTCTCACATGTGCTGCAGACCCTGCCTGCTGGGTCCTGAGGGCCTATACGTCCGCCCTCAGAGAAGGCAGCACCACATTCACTGCTGGAGAAAAGGAGGCAGGGAATGGTCTGGTGAGCTACCCCAGGCCCCTCAGATTCAGGCCTGAAGTCTGCACGCTGCCACCAAGAGGCAGAGCGGCCAGTGCACTAGTGTGTGGGGAAGGGGTAGGGACTGAGTTACCATGTCACTCCCCAGGAGGACTGATATGACAGATAAGTGACCCTGCCTCAAATCACTGGTCCCATGGGGCCCACCCTCCTGAAAGGAGAAAGCCTCCCAGGGTCACCACTGAACCCACCCCAGCAATGGTACGGGGGGGGTTGCTGGACCAGATGTGACCTGCTCCAATGACCAAGAGGCACATCTGTCAGCCTGCAGGTCCCAGGCCAGGCTGAGAGTACAGAGGTAAAGGCCAGGAGCAGACTGCTGGGAGGCTGCAGCAACTTCATCAGGGGGCCTCAGCTGGGATCTGAAAAGCTTCCCCACCTGTCCCTCTCCAGCCTGGACACAGACCAGGGAGGAGGCTACCTGGCCGCTGAGGGAGCCACAGCCACCAGGGGAACTGGGCAGGGCAAAGAACAGGAGTAGAGAAGATAGCATTCCTCCAGGAGGGAGCCTTTACCAATGCCAGAGGCTGGAGGGGGTTCCAGGCCAAAGACAGAGACTCACATGGGATGGGGGCTGAGCCAGAGGACAGGCGAACACGCAGTCGCAGAGGAAGGAGGGGCGTGAGTTTCTCCAGCTGGAGACTGGTCCAGGCACCACTCAGCCACACCCTCACTGGGAAGCCCTGTACCTCCCCTCGTTGAAACCATCCCAGACCCTTTCCTTCTCTCTCTCTCTCTCCAGAATAGAGCCCGGGGTAGCTTCACTAGAGTGTAAGGTTCAAACACCTGAGAAATGCCACTGTCAAGGCAGCTGGGACCTTGGAGGCCAGGGGGCTCTGAGTCACCAGACAGGAGGGGAGGGGGGGGGGGCAGGTAGTGACCTGAGACTTCGGAGACGACTGGAGCCAGGGAAACGCTGCAGAGACCCGGTGGAAAGCCACTGCCAGCACCAGGCCAGCTGAGGCCTGGTCCACATGAGGGCTGGAAGTAGGGTTGGGGCTGATCCTAATGACTAAAAGCAGACATGGCAGGGCTGGGGACAGGAAGGGGCAGATGCTCACCCTTACTGGGGAGACCATAGGCAGCCGCTCCATTGCTTGATCCCGTCTCTGTCAAAGAGAAGGAAGGGATCCCTGAGAATGGACCTTACAAAATGGCCAAGTCCCTGTTTGTTTCTTTCTTTTTTAGGGTTTTTGCTCTGAACGCCTCTCTCAGCTTTAGCTAAAAACTAACTGACTCTTCCCAAACGCAAGGACGGCCTCCTGTGGGCAGAGACCTGACCCCACATTGCTCCATGACCCATGGCCCCTGCTCTGTGGCCTGGGACAGGTGAGCTGCCAGGAAACACTACACGCACACACACGGCATTCATGCACACATATGTGCACACGGACAGAGGGCACACACTCACATGTGTACACACGCACGCACATGCCTGCACACACTCACACACACACACAGGCAGCACAGGGGCCTTGGGCGGTGCCAGCCAAAGCGCAGCCCACACTTGCCACCTGCCTGCGGCCTGATGGGAGTTTCCAGAACCTCACCAGCACAAGGCTCCGTCTGAGGTGATGAAATCAAGTTCTCCTCTATTGTTTCCCCAGAACTGCGGGGAACAAACCCGTCACGTTGTTACAACAACCAAACTGTTCAGGCCAAAATGATGCATCAGCAATTAAGGGCTCCATCATTTCAAGCAATTAAAATAAACGCTTTATTTGAAAACTAATTAATTCTAGCTACATATTTTTCCCATGACAATATCCTATGATTACTTGATTTATGACATCTAATTATTCTTTATTAATCTAATTGAGAATAATCGCGTTATCCTATCTCCCCTGGCAGTGAGCCGCCTGGAGCGGAGGCCGCAGCCCCTTGTGCAACACCGGTGCGCGGTACGAGCCACCCGCCACTGCCTCATTCCCCTGTTCTGTCACTCGTCTTTTCCTCCCAGAGGGCAAAGGAACATGAAACTTAATCCACCGAGCACAACTTTGGATTCTGCCTGTTCTTCGAGATGTCAAAGAGTGACACATTCTTTTCAAAATTAAAAAGAAAGACAACCTGACAAAATTTGCGCAACTCTGACAGCCTTTCCAACCGATGCTGCGAACCCCGAAAGCCCCTCAGGCCCTGGGCCCATGGATGGAGGATGACAGTGCCCCCCTGCGTCCCACCTCAGAAGCAGCAGCCTGGCAGGCCTCAGGGTTAGCCCCACAGAGAAGGGCCCGGATGGAGCCTTCCTCCTAGCATGAGGAGCAGCAGGCAGACAGGGTCCCATGGGGAAAGGCATAGGTGGCTGGGACCAGACTACACCCGGTACTCACCCTCCCACCAAGCCATGCATGCCTCAGGCAGGCACAGCAGCCATGGGACCCAAGGGTGCCCCTCATGGGGAAGGCAAGCAAACAACCAGAGACTGGCAAATGCAGAGGAGGCAGGGAGGGCCAAGGGAGAAGATGGTACCCAAAGATCACAGCCTGATCCCTGAGTCAGCCCTGAGTACCCACCGTGCCCTCGGTCACAGAACCCTTTCCTTTTACTGCAACAGGACCGCTGGTCCTTGAAGAAGCTTGGAATCAATAAGGAGCAAGAAGTGAGAAGTGAGCCAAAGCAGGGAAGCCACCACCAGAGTCAACCAAGCACTATCCCTGCTGACTCCAGCCCACCATATCTTGCCTCACTGACTGCCTATGCCTGGGAGAGCAAGGACAAGCCACGTGGGATGCTGCGAGTACCTCAAACAGCACCCCCCCACCCCAAGCCCTCCATAAGTGGGCCACAGGAGAGCACAGAATGGCTTCCAGAAGCCCCACCAGGCACCTAAGAATTCCATAACCAGCAGAAACTAGGGAGGCACCACTCTGTGACAGGATAGATGCCCACAAAACAACTAAAATAAAAACCCAAACTCGGGGCGCCTGGTTGGCTCAGTGGGTTAAAGCCTCTGCCTTCGGCTCAGGTCATGATCTCAGGGTCCTGGGATGGAGCCCCGCATTGGGCTCTCTGCTCAGCGGGGAGCCTGCTTCCCCACCCCCTCTGCCTGCCTCTCTGCCTACTTGTGATCTCTGTCAAATAAATAAATAAAATCTTAAATAAAATAAAATTAAAAAAACCAAACTTTTCAGTACAACACAAAGCTATCCCAAAAAAAAAAAAAAAAAAAAAAAAGTTTAGAACCTTCAAAGGCCAAACACTAAGTAAGCAGAAGTCAAACATAGTAAGGTCTATGGAGCTCCCCGCAATTGGCACCTGCCCTGAGGGCATTTGCTACATTAGTGATCTAGAATTCTGGTTCTAAGGCAAGGCCTCCAAGTCCATGAAGACAAAGGTTAGGGCCTTCCCAAAGTGGACAATCTCCTAGGAACATCTCCATAAAGATGAGACCCCACAGGACTAAATGCTCAGTGTTAAACTGAACCAGAAGTAGACCTACACCAGAGGTGCCAGAATGATGCTTTAGTCCTAATTTACACCACCTCAGGAGGTCTCCAAAACTTCAATCTGTGAATGTCTCTCAGAAGGAGCCCACCTTCAACACAGGCCTGAATCAATTCACCGATAAAGTGCTATGAAATGCAAGCAGTCAGAACTCATAGAAAAGAAAAAGGAAACACAGCACCATGAGTGAGAGCCATGAGAAACAACAAAAGGCAGAACTAGACCCCTAGAGCACAAAGCATCCAGACATATAGAATAAAGATGTTTAAGGCTCTGAAGAAATAGAAAGAGGGGACTAAAATCACAAGTGGAGAGCAAGAGATCACAAAATTCACCATTCAGATTTGAAAAAGGATCCAACTGGGTGAAAGGCTGTTGGGAAACAGGAGATTTGCACAGTGCCAAGGTATTACATTACAGATTATTTACTGATTGCAGAAGGAGAATGTTCCTTAATAATGGAGACATCTGGCTGTCACCACCTTCACCGTGAGATTGAAGCTAGCACCACCAGTAGTAAACAAACCAGCATCACTTATCTCCTGAGGTGATGCCAGAAAACATAGCACCATCCTCGTACACCTGTGCCAATGACTTGCAGAAAACAGACACATCCAGATTACAGGATATTGGGAAAGGCAGCTAGCTCATACTTATCAAAAAGGTCAAGATCAAGAGAAAAAACAAAAGCAAAAAGCAGGGTGAAGGTTCTAAGTTGAGAGACTAAGGAGGCATTGTGACCAGATATAACACATGAACCTTGACTGGATCAGAAAGGTAAGGGAACAACTGGGGAGTTTCTGAATATAGACTGTAGATAATATGGAATAACTGTGGGGCACCTGGGCCACTCAGTCAGTTGAGCATCTGACTCTTGATTTCAGCTCAGGTCTGATCTCGGCATCAGGGCAGAGTCGGCTTGGGATTCTCTCCCTCTCCCTCTGCCCCTCCTCCCGCTCATGTTTACTCTCTATATAAAGAAATATAATATCTTTTAAAATATGAAATTATTGTTCATTTTCTTGGGCAGGATAATGGTATTTTGCCTAGAAGAATGCCCTTATTCCCAGGCTACAGTGTTTTAGGGCTGAAACGTCATGATGTCTGCACACTGTTTGCAAATGTTTCAGAAAGAGAAATTCTGATCTCTATCTACATACAGACAGGTAAAGCAAATGTGGCAAAATGTGAACAATTAATGAACATAAGTGAAGGATATGTAAGTATTCACTATACTATACTTGCAACTTTTCTGTAAAATTATAAAAATTATAAATTATAAAATTAAAATTATAAAAGCATTCTTAAAATTATAAAAGCATTCTAGAGGAAGGAGAGGAAGACAAACCCACACTGGACTCATATCTAGAATAAAGAACACACAGATCAATACAATAAGAAAGCAAACGCCAAAAAGGAAAATAAGTGAAAGACTTGAACAGATATATCACAAGAAACATAAATGGCTAATAAACATATGAAAATTTGTTTAACCTAATTAATAATCTTGGAAAGCCTGTCAAAACCACAATGTGATATAATTACACTCCTAGCAAATTAGCAAAAGATTAAACAATCTGTCAAATGTTGACTACAATGTGGGACAACCTGAACCCTTTATCTTGCAAGAGAGAAGATAAATTGAAAGAATCACTTTGGAAAACAATCTAGGACTAGTCTGCACACCTTATGAGGCAGCAACCCCATTCTTAGATAAATACCCTAAAGAAATTCTCACATATGTACAAGGAGAGGTTTGTACAAGAATGTTCATAGCAATATTATGCATGCTAATAAAAACTAGAAACAATGCAAAGGACCATCAACTGCACAAAGTAAGTACAAACATATAATAGAATATGCCACACTACTGAAAATGTATAAACTCCAGTCTCACATGACTGAAACTCAAAATGATAATTCTCATTAAGAGACATTAAGAACATAAAAAAGGAGGCTATAGACAGGGAGAAAATATTCATGACACATATATCTGATGATAAGCCATACCCAGAATACTCAGAATATAAAGCTAATAAGGAAAAAAGGTGGGGGGAGGGTGCCTGGGTGGTGCAGTCAGTTATGTACCTGATTGGTTTCAGCTCAGGTTGTGATCTTGGTTGGGGTCCTGAGACTGAGCCTAGGGCTCTGCATTCAGCACAGTCTACTTGGGACTTGTCTCCCTCTCCCTCAACACCTCCCTCAGCAGCCCCCCCACCACTGACTCATGCACACGTGCTCTCTCTCTCTCTCTCTCTCTAAAATAAGTATATAAATTTTTTTAAGTTAAAGTGATTCCAAAAGGCTAAAACTAGAGATGGACAAAGGTATTTCAGACAAACAGAAACAGTAAAAAAGCAGGGGTTGAAATACGATGTCAACAAAGTTGAATTCTAGCCAAAAAGCATCAGAATTGACAAACCCAGATACTTTGCAATACTGAAAGCTGCAATTTACAATGAATATATGATTGTTTCGAATATCTATGTACTAAAAGACAGAAACACCACCTTTATAAAACAGAAACTACAGGAAATGCATGGAGTCACAGAAAAAATTCACCAATAATTGGAGAACAGGATATACTACTACTCTTAGTACAAATCATAGCAAGTGAATAATAAATAATAAGTAAGGAAATAGAAGACTCCAAGGGGTAAAT